AGTCTGATCTCAACCCTGCAAACAAGAGAGATCATGCAAAGGGTAGCTAGGAGGTGGGGTTAGGTGGGTCTGGTGGGGTTTTTGTTGGTTGTTTTTGCTTTTGGAAAAATGTTCTTTACCTTTCTATATTTTCTAGGTTGCCTGTGTGTCCTCAGTGTTTCTAGGCTTCATTTGAAGTAACAATAATGTCACATTAGCTTGTCAACCTCCCTCCCATGTATACCCAGGACCTTACTCAATTTTCAAGGTTCTCTCTCCCAAACAGGAAGTTTTTCTGAAAAATGCAGAGGCTATCCAGAGGCACTAACCAGCAGTTGGCCCCTCTCAAACTATACTTCCTTTCACAGCTAACCAGAGTTCCTGATCCCAAGCAGCTCTCAGCTCTGCCTCTCCCTGACCTCGACCCTCACCTCCCATGCTTTACAGCTTCCAACTGCTATGAAACAAGTTCAAATTGTTCAGTCCCTTCTGTGTCACATCTTTCTGTCTCAAGGAGTCAATAGAAGTTCCTGAGCCTGCATTTTTAGTTTCATCAGACCGGGGCCTGGCCAAAGCACGCCCATGTTGGCTGGGTTGGGATAGTCTCAGGTAAAGTTGTTCTTCCTGAAACTGCCTTCAGGCCTTTCATTTGAAACCAGATCTTCCTCTCTGCTAGGCAAGTTCTCATATTTCTAAACCACATGCAATTGAATTTCTTCTTGGGAAAGGCTTTTCAGTTCCTATGTAAACTGCAAATAATAGATGTCTACAATAGAAGAGTGAAGGGTGGGCAGGGGCAGAGAAATGCTGTCTAATTCCGTTGCCAGTCATATCTCAGCTCAGGTGGCCCCAGCTGTCACCTCTACTACATTGACCAGGAGAATATTTTGCCCTTGTAATTAAATTAAGGAAGAATGAAAACATTTAAAAGTAAATGTATGTTCTTTGCCAGAGTGTGTGGAAGGCATTAATTAACTCAGGTTTATGTTTTTGCACTTGAGGAACCTTGATCAAATGTCCACAGGGCACTTGGCTGAGTACAGTGCCACATGACTCTGGCTAGGGCCTCTCATACACAGTTAAAGTTGTTTTGATTTGGAACGAGCAGGTCATCTTTAAGTGTGAGCCTCCCTTCATGCTTTGGAGTCTCCTAAGTTCAAGTAGCAGAAAGAAAAATGGCCATTTTTGCATTTTTTTCTCCAGAGAAAGGCAGTTAAGTAGATTTGTACAGGGAAATAACATCTCAATAGTTAAAAATAAAAGCAAGAAGTAAAAAACAAAACAAGACCTGTGTGCACTCCCTGAAGTGCTGTTTGGTTAGGGTTGCGTGTGTGAGTGCATGCCAGCGTGTGCTTATGGGCTTGTGTGTTTCCCATCCAGCAGGGACTGTTGACAACAAAGATTATAAATGTTTATTCTCAATCAGGAAGATGTAGCTTCACATGGTGTTTCAAATCTCTGCAGGTAAACAGACCCCTAGCTAGTGTGTATATTTAATGAGGCAGCATTCAGATTTTTAGCGGCAAAGTGATCAAACTTTACCATCCAAGAGAAGTTGAAATCACAGCAATAACTAGAATCCACTCAGACAGCCAAAGCTCAGATCAAGAAACAGAACATGACCTGAACCCCAAATGGTTTGGCTAATTTTTTATTTAGAATCCTTAAATTTAAACAGACTCTACTGCCTAGTTTGTATCTCAGTGGGTTTCCACCTTTAGAATGGGATCCACACTATGTCAGAACTGAGCGAAACCTCAAAGAGCACCAGTGAACCAGCTCAAGTCTCAGACGAAGAACAGACACAGAAGAGAAGTGGAAATTTGCTGAGGGACACACAACTACTTGATGGCTGGAGCAACTGAAGGCATTGTGACTCAGGATGCCTGGCCCACACCTGTGACACTTCCACCATATCCAACTGCTTACTTTTATTCAAAGGACAGAGGACAGCAGGCCTACTTTAATTTCAAGCCATGAGCTTATCCAAGGTGCCAAGACTTCCCTGAATCTTTCATCAGTTTCTGTAGCTTTAACTTCTAAATGAACAGAATCAAAAGCTGTTGTGGATAATATTGTGTTATATGCAATCTTGTCCTAGATGCAGGACAAGTACTCCAAAAGCGGCATCGCCTGCATCTTAAAGGAAGCTAACAGCTCTTGGGACCCCAGTGATGTGGAGAATATGAACGACCCCTGCTGGCAAATGATGTGGCAACTACGCCAGTTTGTTAGGAAGGTAGGTGGGCTATTGGGTGACTTCACCAGCTGGCATAGAAGGTTGGAGGAGAAGGAATATTTAAGATCATCACTTCTAGACTCCTTATTTTGCAAAAGGGGAAACTGAGGCCCAGAGGGTTTAAGTAATTTCCCTTAAATTCATAGAACTAGAAAAAGGTGGAACAGCACCGAGCAGTGGGTCCTGGTCAACTCCTGGTCTAGAATTCATGCCTCTACTCTAAGACAGCCTCCCCACCTGGTCTAACCTTTTTATCTTACATTGTGGGAACTGAGGCACAGACAGAGCAAATATGCTCAAGGTCAGACAACAATGAAGGATGTATGTGATTTTTTTATTCAGGAGACAAAAGGGGCCAAGAAATGGTGTTTCATATTCTTCCCACATGTTGATCTCAAAGAGGGAAGGAAGAGATATTTGAGAAGTTGAAGGTGATGACATCTCAATTTATAGTTAGTAAATGACAAACTATAGCATTATCTTTTTTTTTTTAATCGTCCCCCGAGGATTTTTTTCTCCATTGCTTTTGAGAGAGAGTGGAAGGGAGAGAGAGAAAGAGAGAGAAACATTGATGTGAGTGAGGCATATCGATTGGTTGCCTCCTGCACCGGCCCTGGCAGGGACCGAGCCTGCAACTGAGATACATGCCTTTGCCCAGAATTGAACCGGGGACCCTTCAGTCTGTGGGCCGATGTTCTAACCACTGAGCCAAACCGGCTAGGGCATAGTATTATCTTTTTATGGAAGTTGCTTAAACAGGATCTCTGGCATAAACATTATGTTAACTGTTTATTTCACAAAATACAATGAAATAATTTTACTTTCAGTCATGTGACATGTCAAATGAAGTTTCTTCTCTCAGGCTCTTCCTTCCTGGTAAGAAAGCATTTGGTAATATTTACCTTCTGCCTACTTAGAAAAGTCAGAGGAGAACACAAATATGAAAATGCTCTGTAAAGGAGGAAGTACCAGGATTGTTTAAATACTCGGGACATTCCCAGTATAAGGAGGAGGAAGTGTTTTGCTGGCATGATCGTGAGCCCATGGTTTGGTGCTCAGGCTGGCTTTTCATAGAATCAGTGTTTTATTGCAGTTACAGATCCTACTTATAAACCTAAACAGTCCTCACTGTAGAGCTCAGATGTCACCCATGATGCTGTTTCTATGAAAAATGAAATTGGACTTCCAGCTGGCAGTGGGCACAGCCACCCAGGAAGTGTGACCTGGGCAGGGCTCCCACTGCATTCATGCTGCACTGAAGCAGCTGTGACTCCATCACCCCGAGTGACAAAGACCAGGAAAGGTCCAGGGTTGGGGGAGGGTCCCGAGGAACCTAGGAATGGGACTCCATAGATCCTGGGGTTAACGGGAGGGCAAACCCACAGGTTTGGGGGCTGGATGCTGGGACTGGGAGTGGGAGTGGGGAGATAAGTAGTGGGGATGGATTTATGTTCTCTTTCCTGTTATTGTCCCTCTTTTTCCCACCCTCATATCCTGCCATTAACTAGATCAGAGAGAAGCTGGGAGAGGACACAGGGGTAGGTAAGAGTGCAAGAAAAAGATTTCCCATTTTTTTTCCTGGCACCATTCATTGAACAGGCTCTTTCCAGTAAACACCCTATACCCATTACACATATTAGCTCCTTTAATTCTCACAACAGCTCTATGAGGAAGAAATCATTATCTTTTTTTTTTTTAAATAGATGAAGTTAAAGTTTACATCAGTTAAGTGACGTGAGAAAAGTTTCCCAGAGCTGATCATTGACAGATTTGAATCCAGGCCACCTGGTCATACTGTAGTCATTCCTGTGGGTTGCCTCCCACACTAGGAATTACCCTTCTCTCCTGCCGCTCCTCTTCCTTCCAGTGCCCACTGAACACACTGTACGCAGGAAACATATTTATATGTTTTATGTTGACTGGTAATAGAGCGTGGGATTAAAAACTACCCCAAACAATGTGTGAACTACAGGCATTCCCCCGATTGCCTGGGGACAGGGCCTGGGCCAGATAGGCATGGCCCTAAGGAAGGGAGTTTCTGTTCGATGCAAAATAAACAGGAGCTGCAGAAAA